ACAATGGCTTGTTTGGATCTGACAGTAACCTGGGGGTCAGAGGGTTAAGATCTGACCCTGGCTCTGTTGTTAATTTTCAGTGAGATCTTGTCAAGGTCTTTTTTTTTTTTTTTTTTTTTTTTGTGGGTCTCAGTTTATCATCTGTGTGAGGACTTATTTGCAACAGCTGATGCCTAAGTCCCCTTCCCACTCTCATGTTTGTTCTTTCTGTGAGCTTTTTAGAAGAACTGTTCTTCTAAAATTGAGTTTCCTTACTGTCTAGTCCTCAGATTCCAGCATGAAATTGCTAAGGATTTCTTAAAATGGTCCAACAAAGCACATCATAGTCCTAAAGGCTCAAGGACTTCTCTGGGAACCTCCAGAGGAAGGGGAGTCAAGGGTCTCCTCCTGCCAAGCAGTCTCTCAGTCTTGACAGTGTCCTCAGACAGGTATACTTGCCAATGAAGGAGGCTTTTCATGGGACTGAGGCAGGGGTATGACTACTCTTGAGTCCTGAATTTCTGGGCATGGAATCCCTAGAAACTGTACCCTCCTGGCCTTGACCTACTATGTGGAAAGACAGGTTTCAGAAAATCAGATATGGACCACTGTCTTTTGAGTATTTAATATAGGGCAGCCTCTTGTTCAATGCTTTATTTATACTACTTAGTTTGACCTTGAACCCTATTTGGTAAATATGATGATTCCCATTCCACAGAGGGGAAACTGATATCCAGAGCTAAAGTAATTTATCCAGTGGTGCACAACTAGAATGAGCAAGATTCAACTCAGTTCTCTTTATGGCTAAAAATTACTGTCTTGCCTAAAAGTAACAGCAATAAATAAAAGTGGAGGAAGGGCAGTAAGCTGTTGTGGAAATTGCTCTGGGCCTGACCTCTGAAGTTCTTCTACTTATCAGCATAGTAACCTTGGGCAAGTTAACTGACTACTCTGAGTTCCAACATGCTTGCTTACAAAGTGGGAATAGTCACTCCTACTTCACAGTATAAGACTAAAGGGTACAATGTATATGAAATTTTTGGAATTGATGCCTGGCACATAATAAATGCTCAATAATGTTAGTCAGGGAGTTTACACACCTATAATATTCAATAACGGAACTTAGAAAAAATGGGGTATACCGATGAATGTCCATTTTGTATCTGTGTATTCAAAGTTGTTGGGACAGATATATAGTTGCATTCTCTTAATGAATAGAATGATTTGTTCTAATGGTGTTTGTAAATAGGATCACAAGTCCGCATCTTGTATAGCTATTAACCACTAAGAAGAATATATGCAGTGTATTATTTGTTGAAACTGTATTTCCGATTTGATTTGAAACTCTCATTGCTGTTTATCAATAAAACTTTGAAAGAAAAAAAATAATGTTAGTCAGGGTTGATACTGTAATTATCACTACTGCTACTGTCACTACCAGTTTCCTTTGGGGCTTGGTACAATGCTCAGTGAGACCATGGCTGGGAAAGTGCTGTTGGCTGTGCACCTGTCAGTAATCCTGTCCCCTTTACTACAATTATAGCAACTTCAGGGAAAGAGTTATTTGTGAAACTCTGGCCCCGTTCCTTCCCAAAATGGTTCAAATTCTTTGCTCTTTAGCCAACGCTGATGACGAACAAGGGTTTGACTTGGTGCCCACTGTGAATGATGTCCTTCAGGGGATCTCTAAGAATGGCAACAAATGCTTTTTTGAGCTTATTTTAGCATTACAGGGACTTTGAAGGAGGATTCCAACACTTGGCTTCATCATCTGGAGGTGGTGCTTGCAATTACTGTCAGTTCGACTTGGGTCTTTCTTTTCCTCCTCATCATCTTAAGTAGAGATACCAGGAAGTGGATTGAAGAGTGGTTGGTAGACACATCTCTTCATTCAAATGAATCCTGGTGTTAAATGCTAGTGATTCCGAAAATGGCATATGTTCACTGTAAAAATATTTGGAAAATGTAGAAAAGTATGAAGGAGAAAAAATTTAAATATCCACAATGCAGTGACACAAATAAACAATGCTAATATTTTGATTTGATCTTTGATTTTTTTTATCATTTTACATGATGGGGATTATGGCCTAGTCATATAAGCTATATTTTCATCATTTTGCACCACCAAACTCTCCTTCATGAATATGTTTCATAGATGTATGATATTTCCACACAACAGCATCAGAAAACGCCAAGTACTTAAGAAGATTTCCCTCCCTTTTATTTATTTATTTATTTATTTTTTTGTGGTACTTGGAATTGAACCCTGACTTACACATGCTAGCAAGTGCTCTACCACTGAGCTACCTTTCTAGTCCCCAATCCTTACTGTTAACTATTTAGACTTTAACATTTTCATTATTATATATAACATAAACATGTTTGTACATAAATATGTATAGCTGAATATTTATTTCCCTTAGATGCTTAAAAGTGGACATTCTGAAACAAACAGGAATATAAACAAGTTAAAGCTTCCTGGAAAGGTTTTATTCTTTCTATCTTTAGATTCCTACCAAAGTGAGAGACACTCCCTGGCCAATGACAAGTATTACCAGTTAAAAAAATTCTGATTCCATGCAAATCAGTAAGGTAAAACAACACAACTCATTGTCTTGATTTGCAATTCTTTGATTACTTTAGCTATGTATGTATTTCTTGCTTCTTAGTCATTTGTATGTCCCTTTCTTTGAGGTGCCTGTCATTGTTCTTTGCTGGGCAGACTCAGTTAAGTGTAGTCCTAATAACCGTAGAGCTCTCTGTAGAAGATGCTAAACCTTGTCTTGCCTTCATCCACATCTGATAGGACGCCAGGCTCCAGGAGGATTAGGAAGAGAAAAGTCTGTATCAGCCTTGCTGTTTCAATGCAACTAGAAAGGGGAGTTTCTGGGAGAACCTACTTCGATGAGCCATATCTAGATATCTATGATATCTATGATAATGTGGGTTTTCTTATTCCAGAGTTTCTCTTTCCACAAATGGTGCTCTAGCAGAGGATTATATTTGGTGTGTCTGTGCCTTCTTTCAGTATGTTAGCATTGGCCTCATATATGTGCAATGCGCAGTGGCCACACTAATGGACTAACAGGAAAGAGACTGGGCACTGGAGTCAGGCAGGTCGAGGGCAAATTCCTAAACTTCTCAGAAGCTTAGGAATTTGCCTAAGTTTCCTCTTCTTCCAGGTGCTGGTGATAGCCCTACCTTTGAGGAATAAATGGGTCACAAACACAAAACTCTTGGAGTACTGCCTGCCGCATCATAAGACTCCTTTTAGCCCAACAATTCTTGACCTGCTTCTGTGTATTTGACATTGGGTTGGTGCTGAGTACAGAAAGGAGTCAGGCTGGATGCTCTGCAGCCTCTGCATTTCCTACAGGAGAAAGGTCAGGCCGCTCATAGATGCCAACAAGGCCTTCTTTGACCCCTGCTGTTCTGTGCCCCCCCCTCATTAAGCCCTCTGGCACCAGCTGTTATGGGTGGGTTGACAGTTCTCTCTAGAACTCTGAGCCCTAGCTGCAGTTGTGGGGCAATAGGAAAAGTGCCTGTCAACATTTTGGTACACAGAGTGTCACAGATACAATTTTTATCTTCTCTTTTCTTCCCAACCTTATAATCATTTTCCCTTTATGTTCAGGGTTATAGATGAAGCCAGTCAGTCTCAATTTATAATTTTGGTTCTAATATTAAGTGATTTCAGGTAAGTTGCTTCATCTCTCTTGCCCTAGTTTCCTTATCTGTAAAATTCAGAGCTTATGCTATAGAGTAAATGTGCCTCTCTGAAATTCCTATGTTGAAATCCTAACTCTTCTCCCCAATACAGTGGTATTTGAAGGCCTTTTGTAAGTGATTAGATCATAGGGCAATGCCACTGTGAGTGGGATTAGTGTCTCTACTTCTACCAAGTGAGAAAAAAGCAAAAGAAGAGCCATCTGTGAATTAGGAAGGTGACCCTCACCAGATGCTAGAGCTGCTGGTACCTTGGTCTTGGATTTCCTAGCTACCAAAACTGTGAGCAATACATTTTTGTTGTTTAGAATCCACCCAATCCACAGTACTCTGTTAAAATAGCCCAAACAGACAGACACATAATGGTATCTTGCAGGATTCTGTGGATTAAGCAAAATAATTTATATGTATTTAATAACAATAGTAATTATCTATTATTCATATTTGCTATATGGTTTTGATAGCACCTTTGATATGACATAAAAACATATAATAATCCTCTTTTCTGATGTTGGACACTTAACACATTTCTAGCTTTTAACACATAAACTAAAATATTCCTAAGAAAAAAAGTCATGTTGTGGTTTAGAGAGAAGGGCAATCAGTTTAAGAATTACAAACAATAGTACATTCAAGGTATTTCTTAAAACGGTCAATATTTTCTCTATATATTCTGGGTTCATCGTCCTCCTGAGAGGCCGTTGTGGGTGATTCTTACCTGAGGCAGCGCTGGCCTGGATTACTCAGCAAGGTCTTCTAGTCCTTTGCTGCAATTCTTCTGGCAAAGAAGCTGAGTCAGCTTTTCTCCCCAACTTCCAGAGAATCTCTGATACAGCACAGCTCTGGGCCAAACCAGCAGTTTTAGGTATCATTTGGAAATATCTAGTAGGGCAACTGTCAGGGCATATCAGCTGATGGGGAGGTTATGAGGCAGAGGTTCTGCCAACAAGGCTCAAGGCTGGCAATGATATTGCTGAACTGTGAGCCTGCACAGGCTGAGTACCATCTTGGGGTCAGGTTCTATAAAAATGTTCTCTTGTATCCTCAGCTCAATTACAAGAGGAAGGATTCATTGGCCCCATTTTATAGATGAGGAACCTGGCTCAGAGGGGACCAGCCTCCCAGAGAAGGGCCCTCCATGGTCACACAGCTGGAAGTCATGACTCAGTCTGACTCTGAAGGTACAGGTTCTTCCTGTGGGCACCACAGGATCTTTTAAAAATTTAGTCAGCAAGGATCAGGGCTCACATTGTGTTGCTCCTGCTGGGCACTGAGAGACAGTGTGATGGAAGAGAGAAATGATATATGCTCCTGAGAAGTAATAAAGAACACATGCAGTTCAATTTATCCTATTGCATATATTTCTGAACATGATCCTTAATCCTTTTAGGAAGATGCAGGGGAGAAGTTGATTGATAGATGAGGGTGGTAATCAATGACTGAACAAAGGACAGTGGGGAAGTGGGAAGGGAGAGGTTAATTCCTGCTCAGATATCCAGAGAAGTCTCTTAGAGGATGTGGTGTTTTGGTTGGGCTCGGGAACTGAGAAGAATCTGAAGAGAATGTAGTTCGGAAGGGGCATGCCATGTCCACTCCCTTCCTAAAGAGAAGTAAAAACAGAACCTTGTTTAGTACTTGCTAAATATTGGTCTTGAAATCAGAGCACTTATACACCCTTCTCATTTGCTTCTGTTACAGACATAGACAGACCTATCAAGACACACCCAGTGATAACCACAAATGCAAAAACACGGGAAACACTTAAAACCCAGGCCAGCAAACATGCACAGAGTAAAACACAGATGAAAGTAGATACTGGCTCCCATGTTCTTAGACTCATACAAATAGATAATACTCATAGAATTATGAATATGTTTATGCTTCGGTATACAAGGACATACTTATCTTCTTCCTATCCATCACCACTCATGCAGGCCAGTGAATACATGCTTTTCTTAATATACACAAGTTCACATACAACTCTCATTCTGCTGGTCTGGTTGGAAGCTAATGATTAATGGGAAACAAGGTACAAAGGCAAGCATCACAGAGGAGAGGCCAGGACTGGGCCAGCGATGAAGCTGGGATTAAACCTGTCAGATGACAAACTTGCCTTGCCTGACTGCTCCTGGAAGCTGCTCAGCCACCGAGACAGCAGTGCCTGACCTAGCTTGATCCTGGGCGGATGGCACAAGGCTGTGTGCCTGATCTCTAGCTTTATCTCGGGTTTAATGTCATCCCGGGTCAAGCTGTGCTATCAGCCCCACCCCAATCCTTGCAACGGGCAGGAGGCTCTGGGGACACAGCAGGGCTGAGACCTCTGGCTACTCACTCACCCTAGACTTGTCCTGACACAGTGCACAGAGGGTGGTTAGCATTAATAAGGGTTTACAGCAGTGGGCCAGACAGTTGGGTGAACCCACGACTCAATCCTCAAAACAATTCTGTAAGCAGGGTGGGATGCATCCTATCATCTCCATTTAGTGGTGAGAAAACGATGCCCAGGCCACAAAGTCACTCAGCAAGGGAGACAAAAAGCTAAGGTTCAACCTCGTGCAATCCTATTCTCCCCAGGGCTTGGAGTAGTGCACACGTCAATCTGCCTACCCCACGCAAGCTTGTTCCTTCTGCACCTGACAGCTCTCCAGATCTCACGTCCAGCCTCCCCACAGCAGGTGCCTGTGGAGGACATGGGTCTTGTGTCAGGGCGGCTCTCAGAGCCAGGGCCTCAGTCTCCACATCTCTGAAATGGAAGGGCATCGCAGACCTCGCTTGGTCGCGCTCCCTTGGGCAGTGCAGGAAATGTCCAGCTCCATCTGCTTGCCGCAGCCCCTCTCGCCCCTTCCGCGGCTGCAGCCACAACCCCTCTGCCCCCCAGGAGCCCTCGAACGGAACGGCGCGGGCGCCCCATTGTTCAGGAGGGCGGGGCCGCCCCAGAGCGCGGGTTTCTCGCTCCAGGTTGAGTTCGCAGCCCACTAGAGCAGACAACTTGGACCCGCATCTGCTACACGGGGCGCGTCCTTTGTCTACTCGGCGATGCCCGGGTGCCCGAGGCCCGCGCCCCGCTCTTCTGGCAGACAAAGCGGGTGCAGCGGCTAGCCGGGCCGGTTGGAGCGAGGTTTGCACCGCCCTCCACCCGCCTTACGCACCTCCCCCTCCGCTCGACGTTCTCTGATTGGTTCGTGAGGCTACAAAGAGGCTGGGAAGCGGGCAGGTCACGTGGGAGAGCGTGACTTTCCATTGGTTGGGCCTGGCTGTCAATCGAGGAGGGCGGGCTGTCCGCGCTCGGCCGGGTCTCTCCCTCTGCTCCCGGGCCCGCCCGCCGGGCCGGCCGCCTGTCAGAGGGAGGTGGCGATGGTGCGCACAGTGGCGGCGACGGCCCTTGGTCGGATGGCAGGGAAGAGCAGATGACTGGCCCAACCGACTGGCTGAATGAATGAATGGCGAAGCCGAGCGCGCCATGAGAAGCCTGCCGAGCCTGGGCGGCCTCGCCCTGTTGTGCTGCGCTGCCGCCGCCGCCGCCGCTGCCTCGGCGGGCAATGTCACCGGTGGCGGCGGGGCCGAGGGGCAGGTGGACGCTTCGCCCGGCCCGAGGCTGCGGGGCGAACCCAGCTCCCCTTTTCTTGAGGCGACGGCTCCCACAGCCCAGGCCCCAAGGACCGGAGCCCCGCGCCCTACTGTCCGTCGACCCCCAGCCGCGACCTCTCCAGCCCGGTCCCCGGAGACCACCCCTCTTCGGGCGGCGACCGGACCCGCGCTGACCGCCTTCCAGGCGACCACCTCTCCGGAGGCGGATATCACGCCCACCACTCCTCGGGCGCCGACCAGTCCCGCGCCGACCACCCATTCGACGACCACTGGCCCGGCGCCGACCACCCCTGTAGCGACCACCGTCCTGGCGCCGACCCCTCCCGGAACCCCGATCCCCGGTCTCCCCAGAGGCAGCAGCAACAGCAGGAACAACACCAGCAGCAGCCGCAGCAGCAGCAGCAGCAGCAGCCTCCCGCCCACCCCACCTGTCACCGAGGTCTCTTCTCTTCCTCCCCCAGGTAAGTCCAGCGCTGCCCTCCTCCAGTGACCCTCTCAGGGGCTGCTCATCCTTACCCCGTCCGAGGTAGCAGCTGGGGTTGGACACTTTGGCCGGAACCGATCGTTTCTTGCTCTAAAGGCTCCCCTCATTTTGGTTTCCAAGGGGAGGCCCAAGTTCCAGCCAGCGCCCCCCTTCTCCCAGTCCCCGCACCCCCTGCCAAATCTGGAAAGTCTTTTGTCCCCCCCTAGGCTGTGCTCCCTTGGGAGCGAGCGGCTGCTGTGTGGAAGGCATCGGATCTCTTTCCAAACAGGGTTTTCTGGCCTTTGTCAGCGACCCAGAATAAGCACAAACTTTTGGGTTTGGTTTGCTCACCCGGCCACCCCGCCTGGGTTATTTGGGGAAGTTTGAAAACCAGTCCACTACCTCCATCAATTCGTAGGTCAAAAGCTGAGTATAAAGGATCCCAAAGCTCTGGTTTCCTTGTTCACTTCTTGTTTATGTAAATATCAGATGTGTGTGTAGGTAAGACAGGTGGAATAGAGGCTTGTGAAGATATTTTGTTTATAAATAGTATAGACTGTTTCAGGCCAAACAATAAAAAGGCATTGTAATCCATATTTTTCTCTACAAATAAGTAGACTCAGTAGGCCATTTGGGACAGTTGTATCTAGGTTGAGCACGCTTTAAAATTAGGTTAAATTCTTGTCTTGCATTACTTCTCTTTCTAAATCACAAGATCAGCATGCTTGTACCAATCCAGTTTAAGCAGGGTTGCTCATCTTTGTCCCCTTCAACTACCTTGGGATACTGATGAATGCCAATTTCTGTTTGAGTTAACCTAGAAGAGCGGGCTCTTCATCCTGCTGACTAAAGTCTTCAAGCCAAGTTAGAGGCAACTCTTGTTCTTTCCCTCTTCAGATCTAAAATAAGCCAGAAACTAAGGAAAAACTACCTTGTCCAGACGTTAGGCAAGTTTCTGAGCTTGATTGCTCTGAATTGGGAGATTTGTCCAAGGTACTTGTTTAGCTGGATCACTGACCTAATTCTTAGGCTGAGTAGCTTATAAGGAGTCAGGTGTGGACAATGGACTCTAATTTTCTTTGCAGAGAATTGTCCCCATGGTTATGAGCCTTAATACAGCCTTAAGTCTTGGGTTGGAACTCCGCAATGACATAAGTAGGGATACAGATTATTTACCCTTCAAAAACATCTCTTCCAGATTCAAGGCATGTATTAACTGCCCCCCTTTCTTTCTTCCTTAAATCTATGAACTTTTTGGCTTTTATACAGAGAGATTGATGTATTTTTGAGACAGAAGGCACAGTGGTTGCAAGTATGGATTCTGGAGTCCATACTTAAGTTTGAATTCTAGCTTTGCCCCTTCTTGACAATGTAAGCTTGGACAGGTACTTAACCTCTGTGGCCTCAGCTTCTTCAAGTGTGAAATGAAGACAATAAAGGTACTTGCCTCATAGGATTGCTGTGAAGATGAAATAAGTTAGTGCAGCTGTAATGTTTAGAGTAAGTCCTGGTGGCAAATAAGCAACATGTGCTTAGTTACGCTTATGACCAGGCTTTTTTTGTGGGTAGTAAAGCATTTGGGAAACCCAAGAGGAACTTGTGATTTTTAAAATTTGGTTTAGTAAAATAGAATAGAAAAAATAGGGATATGTTGTTTCTCAGTGTCCAATCACAGTAGCAGCACCTAAATAACAATTGGTTACTTTGATTAGTATTTGATAAATAATTGTGTTGCTGTTATTTTACTTTTTATTATTTTTAAAACACAAAAGGAACCCTTATTAACCCCCTACACCCCACATACAAGCCCCCCAAACCAAAAATGAAACAGAAGTCTACAAAGGAAAAAGTGAAAGTCACTCCCCTCGTTTCAATTAGTCCCTAGAGGGTACTACTGTTAGCAGTCTGCAAGATCTTTTTCAAACATTTTTTTTCTAGACATGCATGAACATATACACACACAGTATTTTAAAATAGTTTTTTAAAAAAGTAAAATGGAATAGTTTTATAGATATCGTTCAGCAATTTGCTATATTCACTTAAGTATGTATTCTGGAATTTATTTTTCTTTTTCAAACTGGTACATTGGGTCTGCTTCTTTTTTCTTCTCTTGTGCCAGGGATTGAACCTAGGGCCTCATGCATGCTAGGCAGATCTCTAGTACTGAGCTACACTCCCACTCTTGCCTTATTCTTTTTTGGTTGTTTCCCTTTCCAACTAATCTTTAACTTGTAGACAGTAAGGTTGCTTCTGCACATCCACTTTAAAAAAAAAAAGCACAGGAAAGAATGTATTCTTGTTAGGTCATCATATATTTATTGCATTGTCCATTATTTTGAAGTTTCTAAGATTTCAAATCAATTTCAAGTGAAGCTGGATTAATAAAGATTTGCCATGTGAACTTTGCTCAAGGTTTTTAGTAACTTCCATGGACTAAACTATATTTATATCTTTTGTGATCTTTTGGTAATAGAAGGTTTTAGGATGCCCAACTCCAGCCACTCTGCTTTGTTTTCAATATTCTGTAGTCTATACTTTTCTGTGAACTCACTCTGGGTTGCCTGTGTGTAGTTCTCAGCAGCTTAACTGATGTTGTGGGCCTATTGATAGACAATATTAGTTTTACAATGATATAATCGGGTACAGATATTTTATCTGAGCATGAGGTATAGTCTACTTCAAATAGTAAACACATTTCCTTGTCAGTCTGAATTTGAGAGATCTTGTTTGGCTTGCAAAGTTGGATTTCCTGGCATTTGAAAGATGTTTGTCCTGATTTTTTTTTCTAAATTTCAATATTCCTATAAAGACTCAGTGCCATTGATAATATATTGTTTGATTAGGTAGATCTTCTGGTGCTATTTGCATACAGGAGAATTTTTTTTAGTCTATTTCTTAGGTAGGATTCATTTTGTTTATAGACATTATGATCTGCAAACTGAAACTAATTGCCCACAAGCAGGCACTTTCCTCCCACATACCTGGCAGAATATTCATGATTGGCTGCCTGGACAGGACATTTTTAAGAAGGGCGAAGGAAGAAGTAATGGCAATCAGCAGTAAGACACTGAGGTAATGACAAATGTTTGATTTGTTAAAAATATGAACTTTCAGGGCTTGGTCCTTAGGAACCACAGTCTCCTGTATTTTAAGAAAGACTTCTGTATACTTTGCTGAAATATTCTCCCTGTAGTTAACACCTTACTAGTCTAGTTCTGGCACTTGGGTCTATGTAGAAAAAGCCCATTTCTTTATACCATAGCAGCTTTTCAGGGATTTGGAACAGTGGTCATGTTCCAAGTCTAGATTAAATATCTTCTGCTCCTTCAATTGATCCTTATGTGACATAGTTTCATGGTTATCTCTTTCTGTACCTTTTCAGTCTTTCTGTGACTCTCCAAAAATGTGGAGCAGAGTGAGCATAAAATCACATATGAGCTCTAACTAGCTTGTAGCAGTGAGGCCAGTTACCCCATTCTTTCTGGATGTGGTTCTGGTGATGAAGTTAGTCCCTAGTCACAGTAGCTTTTTGGACAGCCACATTATGGTGTTGACTCATTGAGGCCATAAGATAGTAGTCTTTTTATTTTTTTAGAAGTATGTGTGAGATGAGTCTTTGGGAGTTGGGAATTCTTGTCATTTTCTAAGATATAATCTGAGACATTTACTAAATGTGTAAGACTAATTGTGTTAGGTTCAATTTGTCCTTTTTGATTCTGAGTCTGTCAGTGTACCCCACCTAGTTTATTCACATTACCTGCAGGGTGTTCTTATAGACAGAGTCTAAGGACAAGTCAGGGCAGGTTTTTTACCTCACAGGGGAAAGAAAATGTATGGATGATAAAACAGTGCGGAAGGGAAAGGATGACAGTTCAGATTAGTTCCCAAGGGTCTCTTTCAGCTCTAAAGATCTGTGATGATTTGATATCCATGATTCAAGAAATATTTATTCTCTCTAAAGAGCCTTTATTACGTATTTGTGGTTGAAGTTATGAGAATAGACTTTCTGTAGTCAAACACTAGAGTTTAGAGTTTGAAAAACTTTACAATGGGATGTAAGTAAGCTATTGTAAATGTATTCTGTTTGAAAAGAATATTCTGGAAATCCAGGGCCCTCCTGTATGTATGGGAAATGCTGTCTCATCCTAACATTTTCTGCTGCTCAGCTCTGGGTTTTATTCTTTGTAGTTATTTAGGAAAATGACATTTATTTTAAGGAAACAGAAGCTCTACATACTAAAGATGATGTAGGTTCACAACATTTTGTCTAAAAGCTGTGGGGCTGGATGTATTTGGGAGTTTTTAGGTTTTAGGAAGCTCATAGTACACACTTGTGAATAAGGGACAGGATCCAGTAGTTTAACACTTTTAATAAGCTATCTGCAGCAAAATCCCAGCAGAACGGGTTTAATGGAGATTTTTTTTTTTTTTTCAGAACTGGGGATTGAACTCAGGCCTCTGTGCTTGCCAGACAAGTGCTTATTCAACTGAGCCATCTCCTCAGCCCCTAATGGAGATTCTAAATAGCCTTATATTTGATCAGGTCAAATTTTACTGCCAAATGCACTCAGGGCAGGGCAGGTATTAAATATGGTGAGTTACAAACTAAACTAAAATTTATAAACTAAAATTTTTAGTTTTGAACCTTCTGATACTTGGCATTAGGTTTGAAGGCTAGGGATAATTGCAGTGGAAATTGTAAACACACTTTCTATGTTCCTGGCACTTTTCTAAATGTTGTGGATAGATTAACTCATAAATCCTTGGAACAGTTAGGTGCTGTCATCCTCATTTCTCATTTTCATAGGTTTTTGTCTCGGTGCTGAGGACCAGCTCTGGACCTGTGTCATGGCCAGAGTATGTTCTACTACTTTATCCCCTGCTGTAATTTTATAGCAGAGGAAATCAAGGCCCTCAGAAGCCAGTGTTCTCAGGCATTCACTCCATGTGCGGTGCTTGTTCACCTCCGGTTTTTCTGTTCTGTGACTGTGATGCTGA